TATACCCACTTTCTGGAGAGTTTTTTAAAACATAAATAGATATTGAATTTTTATCAAAGACTTTTTCTGAATCTATTGAGATGATCTATGGTCTTTAGTCTTCAATTCGTTAATGTGCTGTCTCACATTGATTTGTGAGTAGTGAAAAATTTTTGCAGCGCTGGGATAAATCCCACTTGATCATGTTGTATGATTCTTTATACGTATCATTGGAATCGGTTTGCTTATATTTTGTTGAGGATTTTTGTATTTATATTCATCAGTGATACTGTCCTGGAATTTTCCTTTTTTGTGTGCAGCATCTTTATCTGGTTTTAATATCAGGGTGATGTTGGCCTCATAGGATGAGTTTGGAAGTGTTCCTCCCTCTATGATTTTTTGGGAATTGTTTCAGAAGGATAGGTGTTAAGTCTTCTCAAAATCTTTGGTAGAATTCTCCTGTGAAGCCACCTGATCCTGGACTTTATTTGTTGGGAATTTTTAAAAAATTTCTGATTCAATTTCGTTATGGATAATTTATCTGTTCATATTTTCTGTTTATTCCTGGTTTAGTCTTGGGACATTGTATATCTCTAAAAATTTGTCCATTTTTTCTAGGTTGTTCATTTTATTAGCATTCAGTTATTTGTAGTGCTCCCTATGATCCTTTGTATGTCTGGTGCCTGTTGCAACTTCTCCTGTTTCATTTCTGATTCTATTGCTGTGGGTCTTGTCTCTCTTTTTCTTGGCTACTTTGGGTAAAAGTTTATCAGGGCTTCCCAGGTGGCACAGTGGTAAAGACTCCACCTGCTAATGCAAGAGACACAGGAGATTGAGTTGGATCCCTGGGTTGGGAAGATCCTCAGCAGTAGAAAAATGGCAACCCACTGCAGTATTCTTGCCTGGAAAACTCCGAGAACAAAGGAGCCTGGTGGGCTACAGTCCATAGGGTTGCAAAGAGTTGGACACAACTGAGCACATACGCACACACACAAAGGTTTATCAATATTATCCCTTTCAAAGAACCAGGTCTTCATTTCACTGATTTTTTTTTGTCTCTATTTCATTTATTTCTGCTCTAATCTTTACAATTCCTTTCCTTCTATTGACTATGGGTTTTGTTTGTTGTTCCTTCAGGTGTAAAGTCAGGCTGGGATTTTCCTTATTTCCTGAGGTAAGCCTGTATTGCTGTCAACTTCCCTCTTAGAGTTGCTTTTGCTCCATCCCGTAGATTTTTGGATAGTTGTGCTTTCATTTGTCTCTAGGTATTTTTGTTTCCTCTTCCATTTATTCTGTGATGTTGATTGTTTAGTAGCGTTTTGTTTACCCTCCACATTTGTGTGTGCCTCCACATTTTCTTTTTTTTTTTTTTGGCAAGTTTTTTTCCCCTGAACTTGATTTCTAGTGTCATAGCATTGTAGTCAGAAAAGATGCTTGATATGATTTCAGTTTCCTTAGGTTTACCAAGGATTGTTTTCTGGTCCAGCACGTGATCTATCCTCAAGAATGTTCCATTTACACTTAAAAAGAATGGGTATTCTCCTATTTTTGTATTGGATAGTCTGTACATATATATACTAAGTTCATTTTGCCTAACATATCAACCAATGTTTCTTAATTGATTCTCTGCATGTTCTATCCATTGATGTAAGTGTGGTAAGGTCTCCTATTATTATTCTGTTACTATCAGTTTCTCCCTTTATGTCCATTTATATTTGCTTTATGTATTTAGGAGCTCCTATATTGGGTGCATTATTATATCTTTTTCTTGAATTGGTTCCTTGATCATTATGTAATGTCCTTACTTACTTCTTGTTAGAGTCTTTATTTTAAAGTCTATTTTGCCTGATATGACTATTGCTACCTTGGCTTCCTTTTGATTTTCATTTGCAGGAATATCTTTTTACATCCCCTCACTTTCAGTTTGTGTGTGTCATTAGGTCTGAAGTAAGTCTCTTGTAGGCAGCATATATATGGGTCTTTTTTTTTTCTTTTAATCCATTCAGCTACTCTGCCTTTTGATTGGATTCACTTGCATTTAATTACTGATACACATGTTCTTATTGCCATTTTGGTAACTGTTTTGGGTTTTTTTGTTTGTTTGTTTTTTGTTTTTTGTGGATTGTTTTTATAGTTCTTTCTTGTTCCTTTCTTTTGTCCTCTTGTGATTTGATGACTAGTGCTATGTTCTGAATTCCTTTTTCTTGTGTCTCTATTATAGATATTTTTTAAAATATCTATTTTTGGCTGTGCTAGGTCTTTGCTGCTACTCAGGCTTTTCTTGAGCTGCAGTGAGCAGGGGCTACTCTCTAGTCAGGGCGTGCAGGCTTCCCATTGCAGTGCCTTCTCTCGTTGCAGCACACTGGCTCTAGGGCATGCAGGCTTCAGTAGGTGCAGCATGTGGGCTCATTAGTTGCAGCTCCCGGGCTCTAGAGCACAGGCTCGACAGTTGTGGCACACCAGCTTAGTTGATCCATGGCATGTGGGATCTTCCCAGATCAGGGATCGAACCTGTGTCTCCTGCATTGGCAGGTGGATTCTTTACCACTGAGCCACCAGGGAAGCCCTATTATAGATTTTGTATGTAATTACCATGAGGGTTTTATATAGCAATTGTTTTTTATATAAATATATACATTGCATATGTATGTATGTATGTATATACACACACATGTACATATATATGATTGTTATAAGGTGAAAGTGTTAGTCACTCAGATGTGTCTGACTCTTTGCAACCCCAGGGACTGTAGCTCACCAGGCTTCTCTGTCCATGGAATTCTCCAGGCAAGAATACTGGAGTGGGTAGCCATTCCCTTCTCTAGGGGATCAGATTCTTTATAATCTGAGCCACCAGGAAAGCCCTGTTTTAAGTTGCTGATCTCTTAATTTTCAGTGCCTTTTAACAACTCTGTATTTGTACTCTCCTCTCTTCACATTTATTGTTTTTGATATTATGTTTTACGTCTAATTTTTTTGTGTATCCCTTTATAGCTTATTGTGGATGTAGATGATTTTACTACTTTTGTGTTTTAACCTTCTTCCTACTAGCTTTCTGTGAGAATGAGTTCCTACTTCTACTGTTTGCCTTTACTGGTGAGATTTTTCCTTTCATAGTTTTTGTGTTTCTTGTTGTGGTCTTTTCTTTATTGCTTAGAGAAGTTCCTTTAACATTTCTTGTAAAGGTGGTTTGGTGATATGAACTCTTTTTGCTTTTGTTTTCCTGTAAGGCTTTTATCTTTCCATCAAATCTAAATGACAGCATTGCTGGGTAGAGTATTCTTGGTTGTGGTAAGTTTTCCCTTTTCATACCTTTTAAGTATATTATGCCACTCTCTTCTGGCCTGTGGAGTTTCTGCTGAAAAGTTAGCTGATAGCGTTATAGGACTTCCTTTTATGTCACTGTTTTTCTCTTGCTGCTTTTAACAAATTATTGACCAGAGACATATTACAGTCCCAGGTGTTAGTTTCTACAAAAATCCTCCAGTCAGTCAGGGGTTAATATTCTCTTTAGTTTCTGTCATTTTGACTACAATGTGTCTTGGTGTGTTTCTCTTTGGGTTAATCCTGTAGGGACTCTGCACTTCTTAGATTGGTTGGTTGTTTCATTTCCTAGGTTGGGGAAGTTTCCAGCTTTTATGCCTTTGAGTATGTTCTCAGCTCTCTCTTCTCCTTCTTGGACCTCTATAATGCGAACATTAGTGCACCTGATGTTGCCACAGAGGTCTCTTTGTCTTCATTATTTTTCTCTTCAGCTTCAGCGATTTCCACGTCTTCATCTTCCAGCTCATTGATCCATTCCTCTGTAGCATTAACTCTACTGTTGATTTCCTCTAGTATATTTTTCAACTCTTGGCTTACGGCATCCCAGCAATGGGGCATGCAGGCTGTTGAACCAGGGCCAGGCTAGAGGAGGGCTCCACGATGGCACTTGCCAGCACCAGTGTCCGCGTGGTAGAACGAGCTCCCAAGACTGGCTGCTAGCAGTGTCTATGCCCTTCGTGTGAGCTGCAGTCGCCTCCTGACGCTCCAGGAAACTTTAAGAGGCAGGGAGGTCTGACCCAGGATCCTATCAAATTACTGCTCCTGCCCTGCAACCCAGAACATGTGAGGTTTTGTGTGCACCCTTTGAGAGTGGAGTGTCTATCTCCCCCAGCCCCCTGGCACTCCTGAAAGTAAGCCCTGCTGGCTTTTCAAAGCCAAATGCTCTGGGGGCTCATCTTGCCAGTGCATGACCTTTGGGCTGGGGAGCCTGACTTGGGGCTTGGAACCCTCTTTGGGAGAACCTCTGCAGTGATAGTTCTCCTGTATGTGGGTCCCCAACCTGGGGGTATGGGACTTGGCTATATTGAACTGTGCCCCTCCTACCCATCTGGTTGTGATTTCTTCTTAATATCTTTTGTCGTGGAGGATCTTTTTGGTCAGTTCTGATCCTTCCAAAGAGTGAACTTTGGAAGCTAAGTAGAACAAGTCAACTGTTAAAAGATATTTATGAGGGAATCACAAATAGGAACACTGACTGGATGTTAGTATGAAAGAATTATTGCTGAACTTTTTAAAGTGTGATAATGGCATTATTTTATCTCTTGGAGGTACACAGAAAAATCTTTACAGATGAAATAAGATATCAGAAATTGCCTTAAAATAATCCAGCGATACAAGTATGTGTGAAAAAGTGAGGGTGGGGTAAGAGATGATGCAACACCATCCATGAGTTGATAATTTTTGAAGCTGATGGGAATGTAGTTCATTATACTATTTTCTCTACGTGTGTTTAAAATTTTCCACTGAGGGGGCAAAAAGCAGGTATGAAAAGTACCTTGCCAGAGCAGCAGCTCAGTAAATGACTGTTTTTGTAATCTAACAATGAGCTAAGTGTGCTTTAGAGAGATTAAGTCACTTACCAAAAGTCACACAGGTTTGGCAAACACCACCGACTGTTTCTCAGAGTCCTATGTGTAGGCAGCCCTTTTGGCAGCTGCAATAATCATAAAAGCCATAAAAATCATAAAATCATAAAATTCAACTCACTGAAATTGAAATTTTATTCCAAAGACTATAATGGGTAGAAAGACAACAGCCAAAACTAAAAACAACTGGCTTAACTGGAAATTAGAAGTAGTTGACTGCCAGGAGAGCAAACAGTGGGTGACGGCCTTGGCACTCTAATAACTGTTATAACCAAGAAAGCATAAAAAAACAAATGTGCTGATACAGAACGTGGCTGTGCAGGATTTACAGCAAATAATAGGAAGAAAGGAAGACAGAAAGAAAAGGAAAAAAATCTACAAAACCTCCAAACCAAGAAATTAACAATTAAGAACATAGTGGGTAAATACTTTTGGTAGCAAAATTTTCACAGTTCTTAAAATGGGAGTCTCCAAAAGTACTTAAGTTCAAAAGCTAAAAAAACTTAAGAGGAAATAGTTACACTGGCTTAGAAGAGCTGCCGCCTGTCACGAAGATGACCATCAGTCCTAGTTCCAAACACAGTGATAACCGGTGAACCTGACCAACCGAAGAGAGGCCGACTGGCGGGCACTGACGTCGCTGATTGTACAAACACGCTGGACCGTTCGTCACTAACAGCTACTGCTCCTCCTGACTGATGCCAAGGCTGCCTTTCTGCACCTCGAGTTCCTCGGCACTGACCATCGACGGGTCAATAGCTGCGTATTTGGTTCCGTGGAATTGAAGCAAATGTATCTGCAGAAGTGCAGAATGATTATTTTAGACATCACTGTCATATATTAATAATTTCTACTTCTAAAATTACAGAGTACTCAGGGGAGGGGCAAGATTGGGGTGAGGGCTTAAAAGGTAAAAATTACCATGTATAAAATAAGCCACAAGGAGATACTGTACATCACAGGGTATATAGTGAATATCTTACAATAACTTTAAATGGAATATAATCTGTAATCTAAAAATGTCGAGTCACTACATAGAACACATGAAACTAACATAAACCAACTATGTATGTGTTAGTCACTCAGTTGTGTCTGACTCTTTGCTACTCTGTGGACGATAGCCTGCCAGGCTCTTCTGTCCATGCAATTCTCCAGGGAATAATACTGGAGTGGGTTACTATTCCCTTTTCCACGGAATTATCCTGACCCAGGGATCGAACGTGGGTCTCCTGCATTGCAGGCAGATGCTTCACCATCTGAGCCACCAGGGAAGCCCAAAAAACCAATTATACCTCAATAAAAATAAATATATAAACACTAAAAAATTAGAGTAATACATACTAACTAGAGGAAAATTAGAAAACAAAAATATCAAAAACCATTATGTAACCAGTCTTTCTGGGCAGCTACATATTCTCACTAACATTTTAAATTGCGGCATGCTGCTTCTCAAGCAGGTGTTCACCCTTCTCTGCTGCTGTGAATCAGGTCCTTCCCATCCTCTGCTGTTCTAATATCCTAATGACTGTCTCTGGGAATCAGGTTGTTTTGTATTTACAATCCTCTCCTTAGGATCTGTAGCCACATGTGGATGACAGGATCAGAGAACATGACTGGTTTTTGTTTTTTTTTTTTTGTGGATGCCACATAGAATTTATTACAAGATTGAATATATGATAGAAGTGACTTAGCACAGATTTATCAGTTAAAAATAATTTCTCAGAATTGTAACAGCATGGTTCTATTATTTCAGTTTTTCTTTCATTCTCTTTTTCCTTCCTTACAGGTATTTCAAATTCAGTAGGTCCACAGCCAAAATCAAATGCCACCAGAAAATCCTGTTACCTCCAACTTTTTAATCTATCCTGAATCAAATTTTTTATTGCATCCAATTCTCTAGTCTGAATTACCAACATTCCTCTCCTGAACCTGTAATCAATTGGTCTTCATGCTTCTATGTATTTTAAAATTGTAAAATACTTTGAACTATCTGTGCCTTTATACTTTTTACTATATAAAGAAGTATGAAATTGTACATAATCATAAACATGGAATTTGCTGGTCCTGAGTATGTCATACTTTGGCCACCTGATTCAAAGAACTGACTCATTGGAAAAGACCCTGATGCTGGGAAAGATTGAAGGCGGGAGGAGAAGGGGACAACAGAGGCTGAGATGGTTGGATGGCATCACTGACTCAATGGACATGAGTTTGAGTAAAGCATGACTGGTTTTTTAAGGCTCTGGATACTATTTGCCAAATTGCAATGCAGCCATTTCTCACCACTATTCTAATACCAGTTTAGGTAGGTATTTGAAGAGGTGGTATATGTTAGATTGTGTGTGTGTGTTAATGCATTAAAATTAGACCAAGAAGTCACTTCATGGGACTCAGATTGACTGCATTTTAAGTCTGGTGTCCTGCTCTGATTGAATTCCTTCCATCTGGGAGCCAAGGTTCCATGGTACCAAATGGCTACTTCAGTGTGTGAGTTCAGGCCTGTGGTTCGCAGAAAAGGGAGAGTGGGCAGATAGTCACCCAGGTGTCTCTACTATGCTTGAATTCTATAACTTATTCATGGAGACCACCTTTATCAAGTTCAGTGTTTCATTCCTACAGAGAATTCTGTAGTTCTCTCTCTCCACCACCACCAAAAAGCTTTATGTTTCAAACCACAGACTCTGGATGCAAAGTGCTCTGGGTTCCAACCTAGGGCCTACCTGTACATAGAGGTTCACCTCTGCACTTCTGCACAGGTATGGGAAATTGCCTCCTGTTTTAAGGTGAGCCCTCCGGGCATTAGGATACAGTTTGTACATTTCTTCTTTAGCTTCAGTTGAAAGTGCACTCTGGTCAAACACCTTTAAAAGAACATGAGGACAAAACTGTCATTTCAATGTGTTCTTTTCACCTTAAGCAAAGAGTCCCCCCAAGCACTCCTTTCAGGAGACGTGGCTGAACCTTTCTGAAGCCTGGGCCACCCCCTTCTGCTCATTCCTAGTGACTCTAACTCCAAAGTAAAAAACACAGATTTTACTGCTAAATGTCTTTTGCATTGTTTAGGGGAAAAAAATTCTACCATGAATTTCATTTGTTCTCAAAGATAGTTAATTAAATTAACAGAACATTAATAGCAAACAATCACTGAAAATACCAATTTCAAAAAGATCATGAGACCCCAAAAGAACTTAGTATTAATTTAAAAACAGTTATATGTATGATATGGTCCGTGAAAATAATTATCTAAAAAATTAAGAATATTAGATAAAAAGTCCAGACCCTTTCCTGGGGGTGCCACCGTTGGAAGTTTGCAATATGTGATTCAAGAATCTTATAATACTCATACAAATTTATGTTCAAACTCGTGCAAAAATTATTCGAATCATATAAAAGAAACAAAAAACATGAAAATAAAGAAAGGTGCATCTCCACCTTGCTAAAACTTGTAGACATTTTAAAGTGACCATGAACTTAAGTGGTGAACATAACTTTGAAAGTGCAGGCAGAGCAAATGTACTGTGAAGACCATACATTTCTTTGAGAGTACTGACAAGCTTACTCTGTCATGGTGAATGTTGGAAAGTAGCAATTATAGTAGAAAATGGTAAGTTATTGTACATGTTCAGAATAATTTTCTGATAAAAATCAGTTCTTAAATACCATATTACTTGCATTTAGGAGTAAATCTATTGTGAGACAGAATAGCTATATGATTAAAATAAAAAGTCAAAGCCACAGTGAGATACCACTTCACATCCATTAGGGTGGCCACTATTAAAAAAAAAAAAAACCAGAAAATAACAAGGATATTGGCGAGGATATGGAGAAATTGGAGATCTAATGCACTGCTAATGGGAATGTAAAATGGTATGGCCCCTGTGGAAGATGATAAGGCAGTTCCTCTAGGAGTTAAACAGAATTATCAAGTGATTCAGCAATTCCACTTCTAGGTATGCACCACCGAAAAGAACTGAAAATAGGACACTGAATGTGTATTTGCACACCAATATTTACAGCAGCATTATTCACAATAGCCAAAAGGTGGAAACAACTCAAATGTCTATCAACAGATGAAAGGATAAACAAACTGTGGTATATACATACAATGCAATATTATCCAACTGGAAAAGGGAACGATTTTTTTAAATTTTAAATTTATTTTTAATTGGAGAATAACTGGATACTGTTAACATATGCTTTAACATGGATAAGCTTGGAAATATGCTAAGTAAAACAAGCGAGATACAAAAGGATATTTATATGATTCCACTTACACGAAGTACCTAGAACAGGTAAATTCATAGAGACAAAAAGTAGGACAAAGGTTACTAGGGTCTCTAGGGGGAACGGTGAATGAAGAGTTATTATTTAATGGGTACAGAGTTTCAGTTTGGGATGATGGAAAGTTCTGGAGATGGGTAATAGTGGCAGTTGGACCACACTATAAATATACTTAATGCTACTGAACTTTACACTTAAAAATGGTTTAAAAGGTTAATTTTGTTATGTATATTTTACTACAATTAAAAAACATGTAAGAAGCAAGCTTTTGTGTTAACTAGACTTTATGGAATTCTGGCACCTTCCTTTTGCTGCCCAGATTAGTAACAGCTTTAAAAGAATAGCAAAGCAAACCAAAATGGGTAAGGACTACCATGTTTATTTAAATTCATTTTTATTTCAATGGTGTTATTCCTTCCAGGAAAAATACAGGATAAGCAATAAAAGAGTTTTTTTGAAATTGAGAAAGCTGTGTGGGGGGCAGGTGGTAAAAACAAATTCAAGGCAGTGTTTGAAGCAACACTGAAAAATCGTACAATGATTTGTAAGGTGGATCTTGACATATACATATAAAAAAGGTAAAGCATCTGTTTTACTGAAAGAAAACTTACATCCATAATGGTTACAGGGATGTCCCGAATTTTGTGAGGTTCCACATAAGAATTTTGACAATTCAGGGTAAGTCTTGAAGCCAGTTCACTCTGACCCAAACTTTCCAGCTGCAGGAAAAAACACAGGTAAAGTTTTTTCAAAATTTTGTTTTTCACATTTACATTAGATCCACAGATAATATCCTATTTATAAAGATGGCATTATGTGTGGTGAGGCCAGTAAGTTAACCACTGGGGAGACACAATGTATTTGAGACCATAACTGGGCCCTGGAAGTGGTGATGTTTTTCTTTTCTGGGCGCCTGGCCTTCCACAACCCTCAACCTGAGCTGCCTCTTCAACCAGGCGCCTGTGTGGGCAGCAAACCCATAAGCTCGGTGAAGACAGAGAGACATTTCAGTGATCTTAGAGCTGGAAGAGGCCTCAGAAGAAATCATCTATCCAGTAGTTCCTACATGCACATCTACAAACCCGCTCCATCACACTGGCTTGGGAAGCTAGAAGTGGAGGAGTGAGGTAAAAACAGATTCCCAGAGCCCTCGGCCAGGCATTCCAGTTCAAGGTCTCGTGTGAAGCCTTAGAATCTGTATTTTTTAAATATCCCCAAATGATTCTGATAAATTACTCAGCAGCTGTAATATCTGTCTGGATGTATTAAAGTTAATATGGAAAAATGGTTAACAAACACCTCTAACACACACTGAGCGAGACAGGTATTTCTCAGGAACCAAGGAGACATGAAAATTCCCAGGACAAGGTGTCCCCTCCCCACGGTCATGATCCTTACCCTGTCTACCATGAAATCGATGGCATCAGCCATCATAGGGTCCACTGGGCCAGAGGAAAAGTTCCCAAGAACTATTTTTTTAAGCATAAATGATGGCATCAACCAAAAGCTGTAAAAAAGAAACAAAAAACACCTGATCATTTAAACTTACATGAGTGGCAAGTAGTCATTCAATATGAAGCTCTGTATTAGCTAGGCATTTGGGATTTAGAGATTTAAAAAACTTAGTTGCTTCCTTCAAAGAGCTAGTTTTGAAGCATGTAGTTTTTATAAATGCATTCTCAAGTTCCCAAAGAGTTATGGTTTCATGTGATCAAACTTTTGAGGATTTGGAATAATTATAAGTAATATTTTAAAATGCCTTTACTGAGATAGACATTCTGATAATTTCAAGATTTTATTTTCTAGTTAGTCTTATTTTCAATGGCTAAGCTACTTGTGGAGAACTGAACACTTACCATATCAACCTTAAGGTTTAAATCACCTTTTGATTAACATTAAAGGATAGATTTTGAAACAGTAAAATCACAGAGTTATTATATCTACTATTGCTACTAGTGGATTCTTGGGCTAATTCAAGGCAATTCAATCTTCATGTACTTCTATATGTGATCTTTAGTTAGGGTTTACTCCATTAATTACATTGGGAGCCATTATATAGGGTAAACATGAATTCTTTTAAACCTATGCTGAAAATGACTTATAAAAGGTACAGACCACCTTCTGATGTACATTCTCAGTAAACTCCTCTCACAAGGACCAGTTGGCCTACTTTCAGTCACCTTCAGTGATCTAAGTTCTCTACCCCAGCCCATCCCAACAGCTTCTTAACTTCTAAAGGGGATGCTGCCTGGGTGTTTTCTGTGTCTGCGTGGTGGGGTGGGGGGTCATCCTCTTGGCTCTGTTCACCCCTGAAGCCTCTGTGTGCCTCATAGTAAGTACTCAGAGATTTGATAAAAAAATTCCTGATATGCAAGAGCACCAAGTGGGGGAAGTCTTGGCTTCTGACAATCAAAACAACATGAAAAAATCATCAAAAAAGAATGACTTTTTGTGCATTATCTGGACATGAACTATCTGTCTAATGCATACAAGAAATTGATACACAAATGCTGAGTAAACAAGTGAGAAAACATCAGGAAACATTTTTTAAAGAATCAGAATACAATAGTAAATAGTTGTGAAAACAACAATGTTTACCTAGAACATTTTATGAAAACCAATCTGATCACTCAGGTAAGTTAAGTCAATAGGCTGCTTTTGGGGGGTAGAGTCTAGCCTTGCTAGCAATGAAAGAAATATGGTGAAGTCAGCTTTAAGGTACCATTAGACATCTATAAAACTAATTCAAATGATAAAATCAATGAAGGGATGGCTCAGAGATAGCAGGTACCCCCACTGGTTGCCTTGCAAAGCATTCTGCCCTTTCCATCTTTCTAAAAAGCAGACTAATGTTGTGAAAGTGCCAGGCGAACTAAACAGTCTCTCCATTTCGGGGAACCTGTCTCAAGGAAATAACCCAGAAAGAGAGGAACAAAAGTAATTTACACACAAAGATACAGTAGAACCTGGTGAAAAATTGAGAGAAGCCGAAGAGGCCTTTAAAAAACTGTAACAGTCATTACACAGAACTCTGTACACAAAATACTAGGTGGAGCAAGCAGAACACAGTATCAGTGAGATATGCGCTGAAGGGAAACTGTAAAGGCATACGAACTATATTAAACAAAGCCAGATGATGATTTAGAGTAACAGGAACCACTGAAGTTAGAATTCTTCCAATTCTTTTCCTTTGCAAGGGTGACTGTTTCTAATGCTAAAAGCCAGGATGGTTTCAGAAGACAAAAATATATGTGGCCCCTCCCTCCATAATGCTTCAAAAAACCAACATCAACATTTTCAATTCCACTGAAAATAACAAAACTGTTGGTCGAATGTTCACATTCTTACCTGTTTGCAGTCCATGTTTGGTTGAAGATAGAGGTGTCACTGAAGGAATTGCAGAGGATGAGGGAATGGACTCTGGGAGATTTGTGAGTGTATTCCGCAAACTTCTGGGCCAAAAAGCCTCCCAAAGAAGCCCCAAAGAGATGAACCTAATTGGAAACAAACACAAGGATCCTAAAAACAATGACTGATCATGAAGTATCAAAAAATCGTTTTAATTATCACCAACCACAGAATATAATGTTATCACCAGTCATTAGTCTGAAATATTTTCAGCAGTTAGAAGTTTAGGAAATACTGTATTTAAATGCAATGTCTATACCTTGTCAAGAAAAAATACAATGGTGCATATGTTATATTAGTTAAAAAAATATTATTCACAGATTATATTAGAAAATTAAACTACTTTGCAGTTTTTGTTTAAGAAAACTGAAATTTTAATTTCATAATTCTGTATTTCCACTCCTAGACATGTACTCAAGAGAACTGAAAACATCTGTCTACGCAAAAGTTTGTGTAAGAATGTTTATAGCAACATCACTCATAATAACTAACCAATGGAAATAAATCAAGTGATGAATGGGTAAATAAAATGTGTTTTATCCATACAACGGGATTTTATTTAACAATTAAAAGGAATGAATTAAAAAAAAAAAAGGAACGAATTACTGATAGACTCTGCAACATTGATGAACCTTCAAAATCTTGTGCAAAGTGAAAAAAGCCAGTCACAAAGACCACAAATTACATCTTTATATTTATATAAAATATCCATAACAGGCAAATCCACAGACAGGGTTCCAGGGAGGAAGAAGGGTGGTGACTGCTAAGTATGGGGTTTCTTTGTGGGGTGGAAAAAATGTTCAAAAATTGACTGTTGTGATGGTTGCACATATCTCTGAATATATTAAAAAACCAGTGAATTATACACTTTAAAAGGGTAAACTGTATGGTATGTAAATTCTAGCTCAAAAGAGCTGTTATTAAAAAATAAAAGACAACACCAGACAATGACGTAAATGTTGCATCAAAATCACATGTGAGTAACTAGTTTCAAGGTACTCACTTTATCCAATTGTAAATGGTCTAAAAGTTTTCTGAATCCATCACAGAATTCAAGATGGTCCCAATAAACTGGATACTGCAACTAAAATATAACAATTTTAAAATTTATTTTAAAAACTGTAATGGTAAAACACAACTCATTTGTATCTGAAAAATTTAGGGCTCTCACAACAGTATTTCTCATTTGCTCAATCCCTGGTCCTTTTTCAAAACATGGGAAAGTAAGCTCTCATCTTATCCTAGACTTCAAAATTCCAATTTTATCTAACAGAACAATTAAAAAATAAAAATAAAAATCACACTCTAGTGATACTACATATACAACAATTTCAATTCACACCAATTTCCTTTCCAAACAGCTAAGAAACTCTGAGGTTCAAGGGTGAACAGAGCAGAAACTATTCAAGTAAGAAAATTTTGTTTTCCCTTTAAACAAATTTCATTCTGAATTATGGCTCAGAACTAGAAATCCTTCTAAGGAGAGTTTCCTCTCTTTCTGGTAGCACTTCTTTAAGGGAGTATTCAATAAAATTGTTCCTCTACTTTTATTGACTCAGTCATTCTATCTGACTTCTTGTAGTACTTTTGTTTGTGATCAAACATTTCAGGTGCTTGACCCTGCTGCTGCTGCTAGGTCACTTCAGTCATGTCTGACTCTGTGCGACCCCATAGACGGCAGCCCACCAGGCTCCCCCGTCCCTGGGATTCTCCAGGCAAGACTCTACTCAATATTCTGTAATAACCTATATGGGAAAAAATTCTGAAAAAGGAACGGATATATGTATAACTGAATCACTTTGCCATACACCTGAAACTAACACAACATTGTAAATCAACTATAATATAAAATAAAAATTTTAAATTAAAAAAATTTGTGTCCTAGACAGGTGATAAAATTGTATACAACTTAATATATACACAAACAATTGAGTATGAGTAAAACTGGAAATGTGAACAAGGCTGGTGGATTATATTAACATCAATATTGGCTGTGATATTCTACTATAGTTTCATAAAATGTTACTATTGGGAGAAACTGGCAAAGTATATAAGGGGTATCTCTCTATTATTTCTTACAACTGCATGTGAATCTATTATTATTTCAATAAAAATGTAAATGAAAAAAGGATCCATGCATTTTTAACTGCTGCTGCTAAGTCACTTCAGTCATGTTCGACTCTGTCCGACCCCATAGACAGCAGCCCAGCAGGCTCCACTGTCCCTGGGATTTTCCAGGCAAGAATACTGGAGTGGGGTGCCATTGCCTTCTCCGGTGCTTGACCCTAGGTAACCCATTAACACTGACAATAATGAAGAAAAAGAAACATAAGTCACTAACTTCTTTCTAGGGGACTCAGGCTTGTCACCTAAGAGAGCCCTTTAATACATGTAAGACTCATCTTAAAGGCTTGCTATTTTAATCACTTAGATTCATTTGGCTAATGACAAATCATTGGGATAGAAAACACCATGTAAATTATGGGATAATTTCAGATATGATGCAAAATGTTAGTTTTACTATTAACATTCCATTCATGGATACAATTCCACTTTCCAGATGGAGAACAAACTCTTCCTAGCAAAAATTTGAGAATTTGAGTCAGATGATAGCCTAAAAGAAAGGAGATGACATTTTTATGAATCCTTTAATTTAAAAATGTCTGTGCCCTAAGGAGTGTCCCAGAGCTGAGGTGCTGAGTGTGGTGGTTTCACTCTAGGAACTCTGGCCTAAAGTGCCAGGTGGAAGGCCTCTGCATCTGGCACTCACAGCAGAGAGACTGTAAGCTCAAAGGGGGAAAAAAGCTGGAGACAAGGTGGCGGAGTAGAAGGACTTGAGCTTACCCTCCGCTCATGAAAACACCAAAATCACAACTAACTGCTGAACAACCATAACAAAAAAGGCTTAAGCCTACCAAAAAAAAAGCCTATCCCCAAAGAAAAAACCATAAAGAGGCACCTGAGGAACAGAGGCCCCAAACACAGAAAATTAGACAAAATGATATTCAAAGAAATATGTTCCAAGATAAAAACCAAAAAGAACAAATGAAGCGGAGATAGGCACTCTACCTGAAAAAGAATTCAGAGTAACGATGGTACTCCAGGCCCAAAGGGAGTGGCACAATATATTCAAAGTGATGAAAGGCAAAAACCTACGACCAAGAATACTCTACTCAGCAAGGTTCTTGTTCAGATTCAGTGAAGAAATCAAAAGCTTTATGGACAAGCAAAAGCTAAGAGAATTCAGCACCAAACGAGCTTTACAATGAATGCTAAAAGAACTTCTCTAGAAAAAAAAGAAAGGCCACAACTAGAAACAAGAAAATTACAAATGAGAAAGCTCACTAGTAAAGGCAAACATACAGTAAAAGGTAGGAAATCATCCACAAATATATCAAACCCAGCAATCATGAGAAGAGGAGTACAAAGGCAAGACATTAGAAATGCATTTGAAATTAAGAGACCAGCACTTAGAACAATCGTGTGTGTGTGTGTGTGTGTGTGTACATATATAGAGAGAGAGCACACTATATCAAAACCTCATGGTAACTGCAAACCAAAAATCTACAATAGATACACACCGAAAAGAAAACCTGATCCAAACAAAACACTTAAGATAGTCATCAAATCACAAGTGAAAGTATCTTAGTCACTTGGTCATGTCTGACTTTGTGACCTCATGGACTGTAGCCCCAGACAACCTGTCTATGGAATTCTCCCGGCAAGAATACTGGAGTGGTTAGAAAAGAAAAAAGAGGAAGAGGAAAAAATGACCTATAAAACCAAATCCAAAACAATTAACAAAACAGCAGTAAGAACATACATATCAATAATTATCTTAAATGTGAATGGGTTAAATGCTCCAACCAAGAGACACAGACTAGCTGAATGGATTAAAAACAAGATCAGGGCTTGAAAAATAGACTTGAAAATAAAGACTGTTAAAAGAGACAAAGGAGGACACTACATAATGATCAAGGGATTAATCTGAGAAGAAGATATAACAATTGTAAATAAATATGCACCCAATGTAGCAGCACCTCAATATACAGGCAATTGCTTAAAGGAGAAATCAACAGGAACACGATAATAGTGGGGGACTTGAACACCCCACTTACATCAATGGACAGAACGTCCAGGCAGAAAATCAATAAGGAAACACAAACCTTAAATGACACATTAGACCAAATGAACTTAATTGATATTTATAGAACATTCCATCCTAAAGCAGAATATACATTCCTCTCAAGTGCACATGGAACATTCTCCAGGACAGATTACATCCTGGGCCACAAAGTGAGCTTTGGTAAATTTAAGAAAATTGAAATCAAATCAAGCATCTTCTCTGATCACAACACTATGAGATTAAAAGTCAACTACAAGGAAAAAAACTGTAAAACTAAGCAAAATAAACAAGTGGAAGCTAAACAATATGTTACTAAACAACCAATGGATCACTGAAGAAATCAAAGAGGAAACAAAAAGTACCTAGAGACAAATGAAAATAAAAACACAATAACCCAAAACTGATGGGACACAGCAAAAGCAGTTCTGAGACGGAAGTTCATAGCAATACAATCTTACCTCAGGAAACAAGAAAAGTCTCAAGCAACCTAACCTTACATCCAAAGTAACTAGAAAATGAAAAACAAAATCTAAAGCAAGTAGAAAGAAGGAAATCATACAGATCAGAGAAGAAATAAATGAAATAGAGACAGAAAACAATAGAAAATGTCAATGAAATTAAAAGCTGTTTCTTTGAAAAGATAAACAAAATTGGTAAACCTCTAGCCAGACTAGGAGAAGGAAATGGCAACCCACTCCAGTACTCATGCCTGGAAAATCCCATGGAGGGAGGAGCCTGGTAGGCTACAGTCCATGGGGTCTCAAAGAGTCCGACAGGACTGAGCAACTTCACTTTCACTTTTCACTTTCATGCACTGGAGAAGGAAATGGCAACCCACTCCAGTGTTCTTGCCTGGAGAATCCCAGGGACGGGG